TCACCCATGACTGGATTGATGGCCACGGCTGCCGAGAGTCACAGCGCCCGTCATTTTAGGCCTTCCTTTCATGCAAACCATAGCTATTGTGGATCCGATTGGAGTCAAGCGAACATCGAAACCAATTTCAATAGTTTTACTCATATATCAAATGCAAACACTGGGGACACCACTCAAGCCCTCGAATCCATTGGTCAAAGCAATGATACGTTTACTCGTGAGTTGGGGTCGCATATGAAGAGTACGAGTATTTTGAATGAATTGCTCCGAAGTAAAGCCAACGCCAGTCGCACCGAAACCAATGCTAACAATGCATTGCATTCAATACCGACGTCCGCAGAGAAGGCACAGTTCCGCAGATCTCTGGACAGCGCAACCACTTTAGTCTTTCACCGCAGGAATGGTCTCCCGTTGACCTCCAGTCCGGTAGGCATTCCCTTTGATAAACTCATTTGACTTCATTTTATGAAATCTCATATGTGTTAAGCTGTCATTCGGGCAGACATGATCTCAATGTTTATAATCGTTTCAATTATGAACACATTATTAGTCTGAAAGTGAAACATACAGTGAATTAGTGCTCATTTGCTATCCTATTGGCCATTGAGTGTAATATGTGTTGTGTGTCACTAAATGTAAGCCAAATGAGAAAAAGTGGAACAAATTTAAATGTTTGGTTGAACTCAATGTGAGACACAAATCAAATCATAGTTTATCAAAACACTCACTCTTATGATCTGTTTATCGATTTTTTAATCACAATTCAATTAATGCATTGCATTGCAGAGCAAATGAGAAAATCTAACAATTATTTTAATAATTGGTTAATTAAAATATTTAACCAATCGATAGTGAAGTTTTCCTAAACTCTTGACTCTAATTATCTCCAAACAAAACTCAATTATCTTTATATTTCTTCCAATGTTTAGAAGTTTAGTTAAATTTTATGATATATTTATTAAATTCATGTCAGAGCTGTGGTTAATATTTACACAAATTTTATTAATTGCTTGTTTATTAGATATACATGTTATGTTATACAATATTTGTCTCAATGATATAATCAATTAATTAAATGAGAATAAGCTTCGTATGTTTTTGCATAATAAGCATTGCATACCATGAGTGTACTGTATCATATATACAATATGCTGTACACTGCATGAATTGGTGGTGTATATTATACACTGTATAACAGTAAGAATTTCGTAACATTTGCAAAACACGGGGTCATACTATCCTTCAGTTAACTTCACTTTAAAATTAAATTTTTTTCTATTTTTTTTCTATTCAAACATTAAAACCAATTCTCAAACTATAAGTAAGTCTTTTGAGTGGTTTTCCTGAAACAAAAACATTACTTAATTTGTAACTTAAACTACGAAATGATGTCATGAATAGAGATCTGCATAATTCGGATTCATATATAGGTTAACACATCATACTAGTCATACAAATACTGAACTTCACTTTTATCTCAAATGTCGGTTCATCTCATATGTTGAATACTTTTCCCGAATTCCCAATACATTACAAACAATACAAGTCTCACAAACACTGAATAATTATTTCATTTCATTTCCTTATTTTTTCCAATCGTTTTTTGAAAATTGAGTTTTAAATGGCTTTATAAAAATAGATTTAATGAAACCACTGAATGCACTCATTGTGTTTGGAGAACTAGTATTTCAATTTAATTTGATTCCTTATGATATATTTAATTTAATAGGAATTAGTCTCTATTTGTTTTAATAGAAATTTCTATCGTCACATTAGATCCATAAACCCGTAGTAAAAAACACAATCATTTTGTGATGTTTTCCTTAAACTACAAATTCCTTGAAGTAAAGTTCCTGTAGCCCTACCAGTGCTTGAAATGTCTGCTGTAACACACAAATGTCTATTGCATTTGACTAAATTTGCTTTCAAATAGCATCTATTTCCATGTTACGACAATTACTGGTTATATACTGGTATACAATTTAGTCGACATTAAATTAAATTCACTCACTTTATATATGACCACTTAATAAGACTTGATTAGTAATTAGTAATACATTTTCAAGATTTGAATACTGTATCCAATTATGAACACAAACCTATCCCACAAATGGCTCATTCTGGTCGTCTTTGTACATTTGGCACTCGCAACCAATTATTCATTTGATTAATACCTCATAACAATTGAATATAAATTTTATAATTTGAAGGATAAAATTTGATTGACATTTTCAACACTAACTCATGCGTTCAATTAAATTTGAGATCTATTTAAGTTGCATTCTCCATACTTATAGTTAATGCAATGCTATTTTAAATAGAAATTTATTTTGCAAACTTAAAGTTAATAACGAAAGCAATGCATAATATAAAATAGAGATAAATTTAATTGATAATTTAGAAAATGTAATTTATAAGACGTTTAGATTAGTTTGAGATTTTATAGGAATTAATTAATGTAAAATTCAAAATATTTTTAAATATTAGTAAGTCATTAACTATTTATATTCTGCTAGGAATTAATATTTGTTTGAAATGTATTTCAAATTAAACGACATTTTTGATTACAAAAGCATTTGAAGGATTACCAATTTATTGAATGTTTATTCAAATAAAACAAACTTTTTTCAATTGTCAAATCAAAGTAAACCATTGAATCAATGCATTGGCAAAACGACCCAAATTTTTTGCCTTTAATGAGAAGTTGTTGTTTGCGGCGAAAAGTAAATTCCTAAATAAAAATAAAATGTTTGCCCGAAATCATCACGAAATATGCTTTGATTATTAAATTTTAAGCATTTATTGCGCTCACATATGAATATATCATTGATTTCATCAAAATGTAAATCATTAATGATTTTATTGCTTCGAAATGAAATTAATTCTATATTTAACCCGTTTTTTAGGCTCCGATGCGAAAATCTGGGACTTGTTTTGATTTTGATAGTACCTTGACTTCAGTCAACGCTATTAAGAAGTATTCCCATTCACTGATGAATGCATTGTATGGTTGGCTTTAATTAAATGATATACTTTTCAGAGCACTGTTTGAAAAGGACCCCGAAGTCGAAGCTGAGGCCACTCCGCAAACTATAGCCCTAAGCACAAGCGCCCCGCCATCCACTACTATCAGCAGTTTATTAGGCAATTTTGAAGTACTGTATCAACACTTTCAACGCTATTATCACTTTTAATTCAATAGTGAATTAGAAATCTAAATATTAATTTGAATTTCTATTAGGAATCAGTACTGAACGGACGGTTAGACCCCGTGAGCACAGTTCATGGATTTACAGCTGAGTTGGGCGCCAGCGGTAGCTTTTGTCCCCGACATAAGACATATCCCGTCACTGTATTCTTCTATACACTTCAAGACACCGATAAAGTAGACCGCGTCTCCTCTCCCTATCTGGTATTGCAGTCAATTTGCAACTAATAATGAATTGCTTTTAATTGAAATTTGTTTCATTCTTAGGGTCACATAAATTTAGGCAAAAAGGGTTATCATATCCCACGCAAGGGTACTGTTCAAGCCGTAAGATTGTCTCATATGTGTTATGCGTATAGAAATATATTAAAATGAGTGCTTGTATTGCAGACCCTATTCAACCCTCACGGCACTGTTGTCAAGATGTTTGTCGTGCGATACGATCTGTCGGATATGCCTCCCAATAGTAAGACATTCTTACGGCAGAGAACACTGTTTATGCCGAGCGATGCCCACGAGAACGACACCGACAATAGGAAATGGCTTCGATATCTCATTCATCTCAGGTATTACTTCTGTTATTAATAGACACTACATATTCATGATTATGATTATGATTTGTTGTAATGCAAAGTATGTAAATTTTATTAAAAGTTAATTCAATGGTTCACATACAAATGCAGTTTAAAATCTTTACATGTTTGACCTATGTTTTAAAACTTTATTGAATAATGTATAAATCAATGAAATACTTTTAATAGGAGTTTTGCATACTTTGAAATTGAATACATTTTACGGATTTCATAGTCTATTAACCAAATACTTAAAACATCATAAAAGAGTATTTTATTGTTCTTACGGTAAGAGATGAGACAAACAATATTTAATAATAAAACCATTAAATGAAAATAAAAAACTTCATATAAAACTACATGAATATACAAAATGTAAACTGTACTGTATATTTTTGTTTTTTATGATGTGTTATTTAAATGTTTAACTTTTATTTTAATATATTTATTATTAATATTAAATTTATTTTTAAAGAACTAGAAATACAAATTTGACAAAACAGTGAATTTATTTGAATAGGAAATCAATTCAACATTTGATAAATTACTTGTTTTGTTTATATTTATTATATTAAATGTTAGAAAATGTTAATATACTGTAAGATTAATTGTTGAATCAACGATATATTAAGAATTGTAGTTAATTGATCAACAATTCCTATTAACCAATTATGAAAACAGTATATTTAATGAAGTCTGTGGCTGTTTTCATTAAAATTAATTTCAATTAATGAATTCATTAATGAATTATTTTATGTTCGTATAAGATCTACACGATGTTTATTGTTATGGAAATATAAATTGATTGATTGTGTGACTCGTATGTTATATGTTAAATGAGATTTAAGTTATAGATGTAAGTGTATGGTACGAACTAATATGAGATGAATTGTCTATATGCCAGATGTGAGAGTTCAAAGAATGGTCGCATATACCTGCACACGGATGTGAGGATCATAGTGTTCCGTAAGCATGACCTGGATGTGGCCACAATCAACGGACAACAGCCATACGAGTTGCGCTCTTTCACGCAGTGTCCCGTCAATCCCAAGTACTCGTAACCCTTGGCCTCCTTAGACACTATGACTACTGCTATAATATGACAGTTGTCTCCCATTCTATCAATTAATGTTGGATTCTATCGTCAAATAAGTCTTGAATTGATTGTATTATAATTTAATGCTAAATATGATTATATTTTAAGAGTTGCGTAAAAGAGCATATTTTAATGAAATGTATTGTATCTGAAAAACTATTTAAAGCTAAATATTAGAGGAGTTTCGATGTCATTATATCTTGTCTTTAATCGATTAGTTGTTTAGAGACAATGAAAATATGAAAATTAAATATATATTATATTTAAATAATGATATTAAAAGAAATGCACATAAATTATAGTTTTATTGATATATTAATCGTTATAAAAAATATTAAACTAAACAATTGATGGATTGAAAAATCAATTTTGTTTTGAGCATAAATTGAAAAATATGTTTCATTATTATTATAAAGTAATAAATAAAATGAAAAGTTATTCATTTAAAAATTGTGTCGTTATTGAGTTTAGTCATTACGAGTTTTGATTGATGACTTAAATTTAGCCAAACATTTATTTAACAATCGACGTCTAGATATGTTTGAATATTAAAATGGTTTACAAGTGAATGAATTACTTTGAGGTCCGAACCCATCCCTACACCAGACAGTGATGTAATTCATAGACATATAACTAATGAGAATGTAATTAAATACAAGTCGTGTGTCGTTTTCAATGAATTCTTGTAGCCTTTCATATTGAATGAGAATTGAGTGGTAGGTTAGGTTAGGTTAGAAGCGTCGGGAGTGAAGGGTTGAGTCGCTGTGTGGATAGGAATAGATGGTGTCGTAACTGCTCTTATAGAGGGACGAGGCGTCGATCATATGCCTCTGACAGTACTTCATTCGCCGCATTTTCATACAACACCCGATCGACATCGAGAACGACATCACCAGCAGCACGAAGATCGATATGATCACAGCCGCCACACCGTCCGACCGGAAACACACGTTACTCCGCTCCACATCACTGTCTATCAAAGCAAACCATACATCCATACATTCGTTACAAACATATTCTTTGGAATATTCTTTAATTGTATTTTTACTGAATTCTGATGTGTTGTTTGCGATATCCTTTTGATCGGATTCTTGTCTCACTTCCAGTGATTGAAACAAACTAATACTCTCTGACACTAAAGGTTTGTCTGTCGTTGTATTCAGTTGTGAATCAATGGATCTTTTGGAGAGATTACGCCAATAACACCGTTGAGGCTAATCATTGAACAGACACACAAATAAGTATACAAATGATTCATTAAAACCCCTTTCAATCATAACATACGGGACACTTGTTGTGACACATGTGGATATCACACTCCAGATATAGAGCAGGACTTCCAGTAAATCTGTTAATAATGAATAGAATGAGTTACCAAAGAATCACACGTTGGCCGCAGTGGTAGACAACTAACCTGAATGCCTTCAAATAGGAATATAGTGAAACTTGATGTCCATTTTCTGAATTATAAGTTCCTCTGAAAGGACTGATGAGCTTCTCGTTTGTTACACATCTAAAGTCATATTTAGATTAAATATTAAAATTATACTTAAATCATAGTTTTACTACTATAATGCAAACTTCATTTAGTTTTGTATGAAAATAACAAGAATTACAAAAGTGTATGGCTTGCATCAACTTATAACATATCATTTTGTATATTAATTCTATGTAATTTATTCCTAGGAAATAGCCTTGAAAAGTATAAAATTTAATAATATATTAGAGCTGAAAATACCGGAATATTCAATACATGTATTAAGAATATATTACTAATAAAATGCATTTAAATTCTTTATAATTTAAATGAAAATTCTTGTATTGTGAACAATGAGTGCTAAGTAGCTGTTGTGCTACCTGTGCTCACATACGGCAATTCACATGTTGTGTCTCATAATCTTATCTTAATTTTGATGATCTAAACGGTTGCCGATAGCGTGCGAAACTATTTCACAGATATATCTCGTGTATTGATGTCTTGAGTGCAATAATCTTTTGTTCGGCGATAGGTTTGTCATATCCGTGGGCTATATATTGCTATATATTTGTTGGGTTTTGTCTTTTCATGTAATTTCAATTGGCGTCTCACTAGAAGTTATTATAACACAAATGGAAATCATTTCTGATATAAAGAGACCAACCAATACTAACACTAAGAACCGCCTGACCCATACCTGACCCATACTAACACATAACTAGAACTAACACATGGATTATGAAGTATTTTCAGAGTAATGCCAAATGGTATGAAGTGCTGAATTAGAAAATTATTGCCATTAGAGGCTAACAGTGCGTGACTTCTTGTCAGAGATATTTTTTCACAATTTATTTATTTATTCCTCACAAATGTTTCGCGAATTTTTCACTTTGAGTTCAATATTCATTGACTATCGAAACAGACTTACAGACTAAGGAATATATTTTACAAAACTTTCATTCAATTTATGATTCATTGCTTCAAAAATGGAGACAAGAAATTGAGGGAAACTTTCTATGAATTAGTTCTCATTCTTTATCTTTTGTCTGATATTAGATTCATGTCTCGTATAATATAATACTATATTATATAGATAATATTCAATTTAAGTTACAGTATAACACAATTGATGTTGACTTTTCGGATAATATGTTAGAATCATTAAACCCAACAGATTTGTGTCATTTAGTAAAACAATTTGTTTTATATCTCATAACAAATTACACCAAATGACAAATTTATCTAATAAATACCTATATCTTATTTGTTAAATGATTTTTACTTTTAAATTAAAGATAACTTATTTTTCAGACAATCTCTCTCTCTCTCTCCAAAAATATAATATAATAAAAAATTTGTTGAAAGGTTGACCATGAACCGCTTACCCGCTTGAATCTATGAGTTGTAGCCTCTGTTGAGCACCATTATGTGCGACACAATTCTTAACCAATATATCAAAACCAGCTAAGAGTAAGATATATGAGAATATAAACTATATTAGTGATGACAATTTGACAATTTATAAGATTTTCAATTAGTATTGAAAGTACTTTTTTCACTCTTCATGTGAATGAGTAGAGTCAAGGGGTCGCCGACAGTGACCGGTCCTGAAGTGCGAGTCCCAGCGATACCAAAGCCTCGTCTGATCTCCATTTGGCATTGCGGAGGGTTTAAGTACTTTTTTCACTCTTCATGTGAATGAGTAGAGTCAAGGGGTCGCCGACAGTGACCGGTCCTGAAGTGCGAGTCCCAGCGATACCAAAGCCTCGTCTGATCTCCATTTGGCATTGCGGAGGGTTTATTGTGAACACTACGGGACTCCCAGTATTCACTCTGGTTTTAAATAAATTGTATGTCAGTGTTAGACGATTAGTGGTTTGATTAATTGATAGAGTTATGTCTACATTTGCAATATTTTTTATAACCTTTGTTTCAATCATTTGGTCTCAAAATGATGTTTCTAATTTTAGTATACTTGTAAGATTAATTCACTGTAGAGTATTACTGAATATGTCATAATTGTCTATGGAAACGTTTCAATACAAATTTTAACCCCATAATGTTAATGAATTCAAAAAGACAACAAAATAGTTTTAATAGTGGCACCCCCTTGACCACCTTTTGTACAATTCTCACCATATAATGAACAATAGTTTTAGTGGTGATCTCGATCAAAGTGGGGAATGACCTTTATAACCCTTATGGTCTCAAATGTTTAGTGAATTTGGGTGGACATGTGTCTTATTATATTTGAGTATATTGGATGTTTAAAATAATTTTATTTATACAAATTTAACAATAATTATAAAATCTTAAATGTTTTTAGTAATCGGACAAATAGAATATATAAAAAAGTCGCGAAATGTATGTAAAAAAGCTTTACTTTGAATGTGATTTAATTGAAAGTAAAGTTTAGGACCCAAACCAAACACATTTCCTGTTAAGTGTATATTGATAATCATTGATGGACTTTTAGATTATTTACACCTATTATCATCTAATTTGAAAATGTTTGCTTCGATTGGTTTGTAATCGAGTTTTACTTAATCTCCAAATGGATGGTTAGATTCGCGATTGCATTCGCTTCGAGTTAAATAAGAATTTTTTAAATGTTTGTCTTATAAGAGGTGTCTATAGTTTGTTTCATTTGATTTATTTTAATCTAAGCGACCATTGATTGGAAGCAGTGATCACAGGACCTGATCGGTGAAAGTCAACGTCAAAGTCAATGACCTCACCGTCCGATTAGTTTCTGAGTTTTGTGTGTTTTTTCATTTGAATGGATGTATTGATGAGAATTGGCGTCAAAAGGAAATATGAAAATGCAATAAACAAACACTTACTCGACGTTCACCGTCGGGAAGGTAACGGTTTTCCAGAAATCGCTGCCATATTCACAGGTCACCCGATAGTGTTCATCAAACTCCTCCTCAATGAGAGCGTTGTATTGTATGGACAGTGTATTCCACATCAACTGATCCCTTCGCTAAACACACCGACAAATGCAAAAGTTATTGCTTTTTGAAAGCTTTTTAATTAGATTTTAAACGCTATAAAATGTATGGCATTTCACGCACTCTGGCCTCTCCCGGAAGGGTCGGCTGATACATCTCCTGTCTGCCTAAAGTGCCGCATTGGTTGAGTCTAATGAAGAACTCGTAGTGATTCCTTCCGGAACCGTTCACATATATGCAGTTCAGATCGTGAACATAGCCCGAGCTGTACACCAAACCCATGAATGTTCCGTTGAAGTGAATGCTTACTTTCATGTACTCGTCCGAGCACTCAGCGGTTATATCTATTCATACGGTTTATTGTTTAGTGTATTGTCAAACAATATATGCTTTATTGTCATAGAAAGAGCTACATCTTACTTGTCTAGAGCATTTACGTTTACGGAAAATGTTTTATAAGTAAGTGATTCTCTCAGTTTTCTCATGCAATTATAACTATTTAATGAGCTCTCTATTGTCAAGTTATTAATACTTCAGAGACCTTCAAATGACTTAACATCTGAAAGAATTCGTATAAAAAAGAGTTAAAAAAGTTATTTTACTGTTTATTTCTTCATAAAATATACCGGTATTGTTGTATGCAATCATGAAAACTGAACCTGAACATTACTCTTGTTTCCATGTCTACTCTTATTACCACAAATGACTAGATATGAAATTGAAATAAGATATGCTCTTTAATTTTATACCGGTATAATGTATTGCTGTAATATTGAATACCTCAACATTAATCTAGATATTAAGTTATTTGGCTATTTAATAATTAATGTATATCCTAATTATGCAAATATCTACCTCGATAAAATTGTAAATTTTGTTAAAATTAGGTTTTATAGAAATTAGCACATTATAGTAAGATGGTATAAATTTTAAAATATTATATAATGTGTCCATACGTTCAACTCTTGTAATATTGAGCGCCGGCCGCCTTACAGATCCAGATTGTGGTCCAAAATGATTGCTCATAACAACACTGCCTCCAAATCCGACCGGTTGTGTACTACTGCCCCCGAAACCAGTGAAAGGCATTCCCGGATTAAACACCTGATTGTTAGTGGCCGCAGGATTTCTGAATCCACTGGGAATGCCGGGTAGGGCTGGCATTCGGGGTGGATATGATTGCGGCCGACGGAAGTCCATCCATCGAAATCGGTTTTCACTGCCAGAGGCCACCAATGTATCGATTAATGGAGATGTAGTGGTCGTTGAGTTAAGAATAGTTTCTGTGGTCAGGAATAAGGCTGAGAGGGAGGCGTTCCCTGTGGTCTCGTCCACCCCATTGGACACCACTGTTGTCTCAATTAATGAATCTGATTGCGTAGTGATTGGTAAAAGTTTTTCACTATCATTGCTATGATTGCCATTAAATGTGATTAAACTACTGATTGGTTCCGAAGAATTCACTAAACTAGACGTCTGGTGAAGATATAGATAAAAAAATTGTTTTTAAAAATGGGATCAAAGTGTTGAAAAGCTGTTGTCATAAATTCTTACACAAAATATTAGGGCAATGGTTGCAAAAAGCCAGTGTTTGTAAGGCTTAAAGTGGTTGAAATGGTTGTCATTAATTTGATATATCATTCTTGTGAATAGCATCGAAAGCTGCCTTTCAGTACATAAAGAGATCAAATAATGTGTTAAATAATGAATAAATGTGTTGCTCTTAGAGTGGGAGCCAAAGAATGACAAAGAATTTCATGTTAAATATTGATTGATATGAATAAATGCAATGCAATGATGAATGCAATCGAAAAAATCAAACTTTTTAAGTATGAATGGCATCGAAAGGCATAGTTTGATGCTCTCATGTATGCATCCATTACTGATATATTGACTCTTTAATCCAATAACGCTTTTATAAGTGTAGAGAAATGCATTTCAAACATATAATTAAGATTTGTTGCTCAGACTGGCTACCAGTGCTCATACCTGTGCTTACCGCGAATCATGAGTGCATTGTTCACATAAAAATCCCAAACTCTACTCAATATTCAAACAAATGTTCATTTTTGAAAGTTCGAGGTTAGCATTGGTCAGCATTAGTAAGCTATTGATTTGCAATGGTTTGACACTATGATGGTCACGGATATAATAGCTATAATTGGCCACAATTGGCGCAACTCTTGCTATTTATTCACTATTTATTTCTCTTTGATGCTTAGAGTCAATAATTTGCTCACAATTTAATCATTCATACAATAAAAGGGGAAAGTATTGTATTTTGAAAGAAAATTGGATTCTTATGATGACTACTTGAGTGGAGACAAAGCCTTGTGAGAAGCCTTTAATAGATTCAAAGATCTAAACAAAAGCTGCCATTTGATGAACATTTGACGGATTCGCCCACCAATACATTCAATACATAACCATCTCTTATAATTAGTTGCCTTTCAATGACTTCTCCGAAAAATTACATCTTTTGTTGAGCACAAAGAATATGTATTAGACAACTAAAGACTTCAATTTAAATAAAGTTACATAAAGTTACCTGTTTTCAACATGGAAAGTGCTGATCATTTTGCTCAGAATTGCTTTTTGTATTTCAATCAATTAATCCAAATTGAATTCATTCAGACAATGGTATATAAATTACAAGTTTGATGAGTAAGACATTTAGAAATACTTATTAACTTACACTCAAATCAGGATCCATTCACTCCACTCAATACATAATTATATGAAAAACTGCAACTCTTTATTGAATATTTGAATTTCAAATTTCTTTATTCAATATAATTCAATGAAGTCTTTAATTATTTCCTAAATACTGGTAATAAATGTTGAAAACTGACAAAAATGAAAGAAATTTAATGATAGTTACCATCAAATATCGATACCATCGGCAAACAATTATTACATAATTATTTGAAATTAAGAGAAAATCATTTAACTTTGATTGACTACAAGGAATTGGAAATATTTTTGGTATTCAATCTTTAAATTGTTAATCTCTTATATTTGTTTTACATTCTTTCAATACGAGAATATTTTAATATTAATTAAAAATATTTGTCTGAAATAATAAAATTTGATATTTTGTAGGAAAATAATATTTAAATGATTTATATGAGAAGTCAAACCGTGATTTAAAATTTATTTTTATTCCTAATGTTTAATGTTTTATATTTGGAAAATATATTAATTTTCATTAATTTCAAACTTTCTATTTTTTATTCATGAAAATGCATTATTTTAGCCATCAATCAAACGTTTGCCTAAACCAGACATAAATGTAGTAATAATTCACTGCTTTTATTGTTGATATGAAGAACAAAATTATTAGATTTACAGTTAATATGACCCAAACGTTGCCAGCTATGACCCCAACCTCCACAACATCTGCAAGGGTTGCCATAAAAATAAGTTTTGAGCATTTAATGAAACAAATGAAAAAAATGAAAATAATATTGATTTAATTCTGGTGTTTGAGATGAAATCTATTAAAACATTTTAATGTTTGACAACTTGAACAACAGCAACAAAAAGCAAATAAAAGGATTCAATACATAAGAATGGATTAGTCTCTGAATAACTGTGAGATATTTTGCCAAAAAATACTAAGGAAACTGAAATAAAGCTTTTCTTGTTTCGAGTTTTCATTTTTTTATAATACCGTTTGATTTGAGATGAAAATCTCTTTTTTACTCTTAATTCCGTTCTCTTCTAACGGTCGTCACAAACAGACGATTATAATTAAAAAATATTTTCCTTTCTGGAAAACATTTTCAAAAATTACCGGTAAATAAATGTGAAAAATAAAAAACTGTTTCGATTGAGTGGTGAAATACTTCCGAATGTCTAGAAGTTTGTGATTGAAAACCACAGTAAATCTCACGTAATATTCAATTTAATGTAAACTATAGGAGACACCAAGGCAAAAAATTGAGAGCAAGACAAGGAAAATAATGTTATTTCTTTATTTTTAGTATTTATATTAATTTAAAGTGAATACAGAATGTTGTATATTATTAGGAGAAATATATGGTTTCAGACAACACTCATAGAAAGGCCAGTATTTTCGGACATTTAATTAAAGCTGTGCTCAAAGTAGCGTAAAGTTCACAACAAAGAGGTGTTAATTATACTCAGGATTTGTCTGTTGACGACAACCAAACACAAGACAAACTTGTTTTCAATTCCCGCTAAAAGTCTTACACATCGGAAGATATATCTTACATATCGGGGTCTGTTTCAGTCTCAGGCTTTTGTATCCGAGTCTACTGTATATGATATGGCGTGAGGTTAACAGCCATTCATTCCTTCCATTCATTATTCCTTTTATAAAATCTTTTCAAATTTCTAATATCATTGAATTTTGAATGATATATGAATTTCCAAACATTTGTGCTATGAATTGAAAAGTGGGCAAGAATTGTATGAATACCAGAGTGTAGTACTCATGAAAGAGAAATAATGAATAATACCACCAATTTGATAGTCATTGTAATGCCAGTGAAATACATGCGACATAACAACAGATAAACACTTTTATATTGTATAAACTTTGTACTAATCAAAAAGAAATCATTTTCAGACATAACTAATGAAAACCGTTCTCTCTCTCCAAACGGTTGACAATGAGTTTTGTATGAAATGGTTTATAATAAGTCCTAGATTTTGTTGGTCCAGCAAAACCTATTATACAATCCCATTGCCAATAGCATATAAAAGTAGACTAGGCTATCATAAATTTATACTATAAATACATGTATATCAATTACTTTCTATTACTGTAAATTTGTTTATCAAAAATTTTAAGCATATGAGAAATGTCATAATAAATAAATGTTAACATTTTTATGTCAAAAACAATTTATGAATGGTTTGTAATATAATTTATATAAATCATTTTCGTAATTTTATTTGATGTAAAATTATTTTCAATGAATTGTTTTACAAATATTAGTCAAAATTGATATCTATTTGAAAGTAATTTGTCAAAAAATGAAAGTACAATAACTCTGAGAATATTTGTAAACAACAAACTTATTGATCATTATTTCAATACATCTAAAGGAAAAGTGGAGACACTTTTTTGAATGTCTAAACCCTAATTGTTTTTACCGTTTATTATATGCGGAATAGTTTTAAAAGAGATTTTGCTGTGAGATTCAATTAAATCAAAACTATTCAAACAGATCTTTGAGAAAAATTGGTCATAAATTTCCAAATGACTGTAAATAGAGATTCAAAGATTTTTCATCTATTGTTAGCCAATGAAATATGTGAAGTGAAACCGTTTACACAAAAGACTCTTATCTGAGACTGATTTTTAATCCTTATTTGAGATGAAGGCCTCACAAAAAACAAAAGAATTGCATTTTTCTGATGTTTTTTATATTCAATAGGAAATGAGAAATAAAATTTCTTTTTCGCAATGAATTTCTTCTGAGAGAGCATTAGTCGGGAAATTCACTCCAAATTATAACTCATAATCATTTTGTTTATATAAAACACTTTTTATTGCACTTTCAAGCCATTCATTTGAAAGACATTACGATTTCATTATTTATTGTGTGCTTTTGTATGGATGCGAGCGCCGGGATGTTATGTGTGTATCTGTGAGCACATATAGGTGTGAAAGAGGCTGTGCTGCACGTGCTCTACACTAATGATAATCTTTATATTAATGAAAGTTTTTTCTTCTTTTTTGTACTTTCATATCGTAATGAATGGAAAGAGACATGAATTTTGATGATAGAAACTCATTGAGAGGACAGTTACTCTCTGTTCACAAATCATTGACCCATAAGTGAAAGTTTTGGAAATTTAATTATCATTCAAATGAATATAAAAATCAAAATCTGAGACTTACCAGGGATTGAGAAATAAATCACAGTTTTATAGTTTTGTACACAAATCAAAGTTTGAATTAAAACTTCTTATTGAAAGTTCATGTGACTACCAATTAATGGATGTATGAAAAGTAAACTTATTTATATAAAAAATAACATTTATAAACAAATAAATCAATTATCGGAAATAAATATTAAATTAAAAATAGTATAATATAACTGAAATTGTCGATAACTTATTATGAAATGTTAAAAATATTAATTGCTTGAAATAACATTATTTATAAACAGTTTGAAACACATATAGAAAACCATGAAATGCTATTAAGACTGCGTTTAATAAATATAGGAAAACAATGGTATTATATATGATTTGTTTGAATCACTTGTTCACCGGTGATATAAGCACTGAAAGGTTGTTGAGGCAAATGACAGGACTTTGTGGACTGCAGAGGAAAGTGGTTGAGAAGTTGTGCAGAGAATGTGAGGGAATGTGTGGGTCTGTTGGGGTCTCTGTTAGGGTGTGCGCCGAACACAGGATCCTCGGAATTGATGGCTGAATAACAAAGCCTTTAGAGATTGGTTGGAAAGTCAGAGATGAGGCAGTGATTCGGTGATGGAAGCGCTCACTGTATTAAATGTGTTGAAGCGTGCAGTAAGAGTAAGGACATGACATTCTTGCTGAACCTGTGCTGCCGGTGCTAGAACATAGACAAGACCGCAAGAGTAGAGAAAGTGTGTTTCTGAAGGAGGTCACAGATTGATGACCACGTGCTGCCTATCATTTTAATGTTGTAGTAGTGCTAAACTGTATTCAAACAAGTTATCATAAGAATAGTGCAAAAAATGTATGGAATTTTCGAAATCGCAAATCACACGCCTATCAAAAGCAACCCTTCATTTCATTTCTGGCATTCAGTTCGCTATTATTTCTTTCATTTTTCACTCATTTTTTGACATTTTTTTGTCAATTTGAAGGGAAAGTGATTCCACTTTTCTCTCGTAAGACAGTATTGAGAATTCGTGAGAGATTTAGCAAAAAAGTGCTTAATAGCTGTGCTTTACAAAACCCATATTAATATTGTCATGGGTTTGACTGGTAATGCATGAATGGATTGGGTGTACAATATTGAGGTTCACTTGACTCTCATTTTCTCACTGACACTGACTTTAGTCTTCCAGCACTCTCTTTAAGGCTATTAAACCAAACATCTTATAGTCAAATGTCAAACACACCAACTGAAGGGTCACAGTATCCTAAGTTAGGATTCCTAACCTAAACATACATATACAGCGATATAATAATCGTTTCTTTCTCTTTTCAAATTTAATTTAAAGTTCATTATACAGAATATCGGTTACTGACATACCATACCATTACGTGTTGTGCAAACAATCATTTAATAGCAGATCTAAAGAACCAAATATGAAAACAACATATTCTGAGCCTCTGGTGGTCTATAACTCACTCAAAGTAATCAAAAACTCATTACATTTTCTTTAACAAGAATTTCATACTAGTCTTTAAATTATTCAATACTTTATCATTTAGATGAATAAAGTAAACTTTACATAATACTTATTGATTTATTTGAAATTAATTTCAATTTTTTTCATATACAGTACTGTAATATCAAACAAACCGGGTCCAAAACAGACCAATAAACCGTATAAAAAATATTCTTTTATTAAAGTATACATTCAGTTTTATTTATTGTCCGGTTATTGTATTCAAACTTTGAGATATGGTATAAATAGACTTTTTAAAGGAATCAAATGAAGTGAATTAAGAGATATGACTGTATTGTTCACCGGATGTGATGTATGAAAATATTAAGAAAAGATTTTTTACCATTCAATACATTTGTGTACAAAACCTATAATAGTATGGAATCGATAGGTCTTTATTAGTGATAATTTTTTCACATTTGAAAACAACTAAATAACAGATACTTCGCTATTCGACTGGAATAAGAGAGACTTATTTTTTATAAGCATTTCTTTCTGTTAAGATTTTTCACTTAACATTTGTGTCTTTTTGTAAGCTTTGAGTTTTTTGTTAGGAAACTCATGTGTCGTTTGCAAACATCCTTTTGTCCAAAAGTTACTCTATTGTCACTACAAGAGTCTAGTGGTCTCCAAACCTATCACTCTATGTATGCAACACATGTCTTATAAGTAAAAAAAATAATCCACAATCATGTTTATGTGAAAGTGGTTTACAGAAACTACAAAAAAATTTGAATTATTGTCCACAAAAATCCACTGAATCCGAAATTAGAGTTTTATAATTCATTCAAACTATTATTCTCTATAATGTATAACATTTGAAAATAATTTATTTATTTTTCCAAATAATTTTATTTCTGACATAAATACTAGTTTTCTCTCTTTTGTTGATTTGATTTAAGGCTAACTTTGGAAGAACCAGTGTTTTGGTCATCATTTTATTATTTATACTACTTTTTATACCTAATATTACGATTGTTATATAATATAGTAATGCAATGCAATGAACTACACATTATTATTGTTGAAATGCAATGAACTCATTGTACTATTTCTTAATGTTAGGCTTAGGGTTAAAGTTTACCACAGAATTCAATACGAGGCTACCTTTCCACTGGCTTTCATATGCTTTTGCTTTTGATTACAACCAAAACCAGAACAAAACAATCAAATATTTCATTTTTACGAATATATTTGTTTTAGAAAAATATTAATATTTATTTATCAAAAAACAAGACAAAAATATCCCACACTTTCTGTTTGTTTATTTGATTTATGCATGAATTTCAATATAAAATGCTTTTTGAGTTACTTATGAAAAGTGAAGTTTATGTCAATAAATAGTTAAGAAATGAGAAAGTTTTCATAAATTAAATATTAAAATCAAAAACTGTTTGAACATTTGAGTTAAGGCTTAGATGAAGGGGCTGATAGGGCTGGTAGAGAGCGGGCACTGGTTTGATGGGTTGGGTAGTGATTTGTTTGCATATCATATGCAGAAGTGTGTGATTGAGTGGATTTGTCACTGAAGAGTAGTAGTTTGCGTTTGAGGGGACAATAGCTGGTATAGCAAGTGATGGTTAGCGCAGACATGACCGCAATTGTCATTGTGATGAGGGCAGCGATCGTAAGCACCAGTTGTCGAGTAAGACATTGTGCCCATCGGTCTGATTGGTCCGATCGGTGCAATTGGTCCGATGGCTTCGTATCCATATATACCTCACGTATGGCTAAGAGAAGTAATTATTGCATGAAATAGTGGCAAACGTATCGCTTGTCTTACGTGTGATAGTTGTGATGGCTTTGTGAGAGTGTAGGCCAGGGATGGATAGGCCAGGGATGGAGTGTTGGTCTGTGAGGTGGTGTGAGTTTGTGATGGTTGTGATTGTGATGTCTGACAGTGAGTGCCGAGAGTTGTATTCATTGTTGTTGTTAGCCGTCAGCTCTCTTCCCATAATTATAGCCCTCAATACATTTCGTTGCTTTCGTTGCTTTCGTTGCTTTCCATGCAATGCGAGTCTCTTTATTCGGTGAAGCACTGGTCCACTCATACCATACCCAATGCCTATGCCTCTAGTGTTGTCACATTCAATCTAAACGTATATATTTGCCAAATGAAACTAAAATACCAGTGTTTAGAGTGAGAGCTACAGTTCGACTAAACCTATCATTTATTCCCATTTTATTTCAAACCAAAGAAATTCAAAGAAAGTTATTGACTATTGACTATTGCATCGACTATTGCATTGAGTATTGAGTAATAACTTTTGAAAGATTGCGAGC